CCGCCCACGCGCAAGCAGCCGCGGCCGCCATCGTAATTGCCGCAGTGCTGGGCGCGTGAGGCCGTGGGCGCCCCTCCTCCCCCCCTCCTCCTCCTCTTCCTCTTGCTCCTCCTCCTCCTCCTCCTCCTCCTCCTCCTCCTCCTCCTCCTCCTCCTCCTCCTCCTCCGCCTCTTTTTCTCAAAAGCTGACCCCTGATTTTGCTTTGCAACGGCCCATGCGTTTATATTTCGGTGTGTGCGGGTCCATGCGCTTGCTGTGGGAGGAGGAACTGTGCGGCCGACCGGGTCAACAGAACCCCAAACGGCCCCCTTGGCGGGCTGTAGAGACCCGCAAGGTGCAGTCGGCCTTCTCCCTTCCCTCTCATTGCTTGTGGCGGGGGAGCGCGCGCGCGCGCCCAACGGTGGGGTCTGGCGGCGCACGCCCCACGGCCGCGCCCCTGCCTCATCCGACTTCCGGCTCCCCCCTTCCCTCTGTCATCCTCCCTTCTCTCTCAATTTCACGTGTCGCCCAAATCTCTTCGTGTTACGTCTTCTAGACATTTGTCGGAGGGACGGGTGTGTGCCCTGTCGGCGGTGCCCAGGTGGAATGTCGCCCTCCACCTGGGCACTGAAAAAAATCCGAAGTTGTTGGTTTTGCTCGAACCCTCGGCCGACACGCCTGGCACTTATGGACACATGTCCAAAAGAAGAACATGTACCGGGGCCGCGGTTGGAGCAGCAGCAGCAGCAGTAGCAGCAGCAGTGGAGCAGTAGTGGAGGAGGAGCAGCGGAGGAGCAGGGGAGGAGCAGGGGAGAAGCAGGAAGAGGAGCAGGAGAAGGAGGAGAAGGAGGAGGAGGAGGAGGAGGGGCAGGATGAAGAAAAGGGGAGGAGCAGGAGGGGGCGGAGAAGGAGGGGGATGGAGGAGGAGGGCATGGAGGAGGGAAGGGGCGGAGGAGAGGCCAGAGGCCAGAGTCCAGGGAGTGGGCATCAGCGGGCCAAAAGAAGGAGGGATGAGGCGCAGGGAGGAGGAGGGGGAGGACGAGGAGGACGAGGAGCCCGAGCTCCGTGGTGCTGAAGCTGAACCCACCCGGGGCGCAGGCGTCGGCCCAGGAGCGGCCCCCCGGCAAAGCCGTCAGGCCAGGGTCGCCGCCCCGCTGCTTCCTGGGAGGAGCGAGGAGGGGGGGAGGAAGAGGCGGAGGAGGAGGAGGAGCAGGAGGAGGAGGTCGGTCGGTCGAGAGTCAACCACTGTGGAACACATCAAAGGTATGATTCGATATGTACGTCCTGCAGTGCGCGCACGGACGATATGAAAATGGCGCAGGAGGAGGAGGAGCAGGAGGAGGAGGAGGA